TTTGACCTCCAAAGGTACTTCCAGTGTGAAGTTTATGGTTCTGATACATAAGTTGGAGAGTCTTTGGTCTCTTAGCTAACATTATGGTTGGCTCTACCCAAGTACTTCTAGCTGTCCATCATTTCTGTGGTTCATATGGTTATTTGACAGTGGTGAACCACTGAGAATAGACAAGCGTTTTGTGTTTTTTGAACTCAATGATTGGACATGTTTTTATATAAGCCACACATTGGTATTACTTGCATTGAGCTAGAGTTGCAATTCAATTCCAAGCTTTTTTTTTTTAAATTTATACAGCTAGATGGCTTTAAGAAGAAGCCATGAATAGTCCAGATGAAAGTTCATATGTATATGCTATCCCAGGGCCTACAACCATTTGGGCACTTTTTTGACTTTTTAGAAAGATACTGGAAAATCAAAGCCATGAATTACCATTTTCTTTTTGAATTGAAACAGTTTTCCCTCATTTTTGCATTAATTCTTTCTGTTATTTAAACCATTTTCACAACCGCCTTGAAATATATCCAGTTTTGGAGTCGGTACTCTCATAGCAGTTGTCTCAGTATCAAATACGGAAACAAAATAGTTCCTTATTATTAAGATATTTCTTTTGATAAGTTTAAACATTAGGGTGGATTTTTTTTTTCCAGTTCTTTTGCCTGCTGTTCTACAGTGGCAACTCCATTTTAACTGGCCATAGGCTGTGACCACTGTGTCTTACTCCAAGTTACTTATAGGTATAATTTCTCACTCTGTGATAATTGCCCACATTCTTTGCATATGCTGATTGAAAGCTATGCTGCATTGCAATGCATAAGCTGATTGCAGGCACTCAAGCGGTGCCCTTTACCTTCTGTGATCCACCTTAGTTACCATTTTTGTAGATTCAGGTGGGTGGAAGAGACACATCTAACATCAAGATCCATGTGAAATTTCGAGTTGTTTGAAGCGTGACAGCACTTGGGTTTCAGAGAATGACTGTAAGATGCTGGCACGAATGACACTGATTTTTCTGCTGTCTGAAGGGTGTTGCCCCCAGGTCTCAGCATGAGAAAGAGGCCTAGCCTTCAAAATTTCAGCCTGGGCTAATCGTTAGCGAAGACTGCTTAATAGTAAATGTTTCAGCAGTTACTGTCTTCTAACAACAAACTGACTGGAATTACCTACATCTTTTTTCATATAACAGTTATAAATTTGGATAAATTTTAATGACTGCTAAAGGATCTCCAGTCTTGCTTAATGGAGGAAACAATTCTCAAAGCGTTTGCCTGTAACAGTCTTTTTTTTTTTTTAACTGTTTTAAAGGGTACTTTAAAGGCTTGAACTATTTCAGTGGTAGGTTTCTGAACCCTAAATGCGTAATGTGGCACACTGTATTTGTAAATCTATGTTTGAGGTATGATTTGTTGCTTAGTGAATTTGTGTACTTAAATTATTGTTATGGATGACACTAAGTCCTTGCGATTTTGCCAACTCTTACTATATCTGTATATGTAAATAGATATTTTTCAAAGCTCTCCTTAGGTTCTCTGCATCTCTTTACTAGTAACGGCTAATGTCTGGTGCTTGAGCATTCAGTGACTACACTTCTAATAAATGAATATTTATAAATGTGATTTAGCTGATCCCTTTCAACTGGATCTCTCCTCCATTATTTGGTTATTAACTTTCTGATCTTTGACATGAATACAGAGAGGAAAGTTTTTGTATTTCACTTCAGGCAAAGTTATGTAGCAACCGTCCTCGTTTAAGAAACATGATTAGTAAAGTCATCTGAAACCTTTATTCTGTCACTTATCTCACTCGTTTGAATCTTACTTTAAATATTGTTATTCAGATATGAACATCTGCCTCATGCAAGTACGGGTTTTTGCTAATACAGAAACTTTTTAACACATCGGTCAAGCACTTTCTTAAAAACAGATGGATTGTGGAAAACAAAAGTGATCAGATTTGACTGTTATGGGAGTGTAGGTAACATGTCGACTGCATAAGCTTTTCAGAAGGGAGATGGGTGTGTGAAGTGGTTTTGCTCATAGGTAGAGAACTCTTCCTTGTTTATTGGCTTGATGAAAACTCAGTTTTGTTTTGATTGTCAAACCTCCGGCCAGCACCTTCTGTCTTTAATAAGTCACATCCAGCCAAAGCACTCTTTAGGTATTACAGGTCATCAAAGCATTAATAGCTTCCTTAAGTCTGTTTTGCATAAATACGAGGTACTGACACACAAAAATGGGAGAATGATGAATCCTTTTGATGTTGGGTTTTTTATGTGTTTTAAACTTTTGAGTCTTAAGCGTTCTGCAAAAGCAGTTATTTTTGAATTTTGTGTTTTGGAGCTTTAGGATTCTGGCATTCAGCCAATGCTGCTATTGCTAATGAAAGTTCTTACCAGGTCATATATATCAGTATGCAAACTGGATAGCCTTTTCCTGCTGCTTGTTTTAAAAATTCATGTTATTTTTACTACAGGAAATGGAGTTGGGTGTAAGAAAATTATTGTAGCCAGGGAAAGATGCTTGGAGGACAGCAATGTAGAGTTATGAGGATGAGTAGGTTTCAGGGTCTTCAGACAGTGCTGTACACATGGTGGAGATGTGTCTTAAGATAGCTGACTCCATTGTGTCTAGCTAGTGTACTAGAAGTTTTTCATTCCCTGGGATATTGGGTGGATTGACAGAACCTGTTTGATTACAAAATACAAGTTCATCATTCAACTGTTGCAGACTTAGTGCTCTTATATTCAGAAACTACAGAAACTGTTAGAAATTTCAACATGTTGATGAAACAGTAGACTGAGCATTGTCTGAGTTCTCAGAGAATAGTCTGAGAAGTATACCTTAAATAAGATTATCTGCATGATTTCTAGGAGGTGAGGAAGCTGAAATGAAGAACAGAAGTGAGTTAACTGTACATTACCACTGTTTAACTCTTGTCCTTCAGAGATTAACTTGTCTGCTGTATAATGCCACAAGGGTCAATATGTTCAAGTTTCTAACATAAGTCTGTTACTTATTCAGGATTTCTTGTTCTCCTGATCCATAAGATGTGTTGCTCATCTCCTGAATTTTGAATACAGTAAGCTGTTTACCCAGCTTTCCTAGTTGCTGTAATATGAGCATAAAACAAGTAAATGAAATCAATGTTTGTTTTATTTCTGTTCAGGTAGGATGTCTGCAGGCACGTAGGTGTCTTACGTACGAGTCTGCTGGAACTCACTAGCTTAAGCAGGTCTTGATTGTTTTGTTTTTGTGTTATCACCATAATTACTAGTTTTATCAACCGAGTTTATAGTCAGAAGTGGTAACTGAAGTATAACTTGATTAAGGCCTGCTGTAGCATGCCTGTGCACGCAATCCACAGTGAAAGCTGTAAGCCATTCTCAGCGCTGTCTCCGAGGATGGGGGAAGTATGCTGGATCTTCACCTTCCCACTGACAGAGTTTGTGAGGAGGATGGCGTTGTTCTTTGTATCAGATGGGCTGGGGTTCCCAGGGGCAGGCTTGCTTGGGTACAGTCAGCTCTAGGGCTGTCAGTGTCAGCCTGCCAGCCCCTGAACTTCCCAGCCGGCGAGCCGTGAGGCAGCACCCTGCTATGGGGCAGCACCTTGTCTCAGGCGGGTGCCTGCGTGGTGGTGCTGACTGCCACTCAGCTAAGTGCTTGTCAAGAGGCGCTTGCTGCTAATCAGAAAACAAGGGTGTGGAAGTACTTTCTGCGATAAGTATCAGGAAATGCTCCTACGGAATACCTGGCAGGAGTTTCTTTAGAGTTTCTTGGAAATTCCTGCCTTGTGTCACATTCAACCAGGAAAAGTAACGTGATCTAAACCCTGCAGTATGTATTAACTCTGTCGTTCGGCGTGCTGTCAGGCATCTGTCCTGTATGCTGCAGTGGAGCAAGTCTCGTTGAAAGTTTTAAAATTGCTTTAATTGTTATCAGCAGTTTTGGAAGCCAGAATAACCCTTGTTCCGCAAATAGATTTCTAAATTTCACCTTGCTTCAGGCAGGCTGAATTCTGTAACAGTTTACCACCAGGCTTCTTGAGACTTTGCTGAACATTGTGCCGAGGAGAGAAAATTGGAGACTGGGGGTTCCTTCTGAAGAAAGGTCTGCAGTGTTTGGTGCCTTGGGGAGTTAGGGCCTGTAAGGAGATATATCCCTTGCTCTTCCCCTTCTAAAACTGCTGTCTCCAATAAGGCTAGCAGCCACTTGATTAATCTTAGCTCTTAGTGTTCCTTTCTTTCACTTCTGGTTGGTTGCTTGATTTGAATAATTGATTTGCGTGTATAAAAGGCTTTACTGCTCCAGACCTATGCTGTCCTTAATACATTTTATGTGCAACAAACTACTCAGTTCTTGTAGTGTCTGAACAGGCCGAAATGGTGTGCTGCCTCGGGTTACTTTACTAAACCTAGTTACTTGGATAACATTAACAAAAATATGTTTCAAACAAACTTTTATTTTCAGTTTGTGTCATGACATTGGCAGTATGTTTTCTGATTATATCATATATTGTTGCAGATTATTTTAAGATTTACATACCCAAACTTAAACCCCTCAAAAAGTTTTTCTACTGCTTTTGTTTCTCTGTACTTTATAGCTATTGTTCATCTGTAGTTAAGAACAATTAGATGTTTTAACAAACTGAGACAGTGTGGACCAGTAGCAGCACAGAGTGGAGAACAGGCAGTTAGTTGAGGTAATGAAATCCATAATTTGTGGCCCAATATTTCCCTAACAGTGGGAGATACAATATGAATTCCAGTTGTGTTCTGTTTCAGCTCAATAAGTCACCACCTCACTGTTGTCATAGGAGAATGCAGATGAAACTTTTGGCTTCAGGCTAAATGTGGAAGAGAAATGTGGGGAAAACAAATTCATACACGTTAAACTTCTGTAAGAAAAGTTTGCATGTTGTTCCAATTGTGTTTCATTTACCTCTTTTAGCTGAAAAAGAATATATGATATTAACATTAACAAAATCCAATTTTACCTTTGCAGATAAATTTGAGCAGTTTTGGGCAATAAATCGAAAACTCATGGAGTATCCTCCAGAAGATAGTGGATTTCGATACATCCCATTTAGAATTTATCAGGTAGGAGACAAATGAAGTAAAACCACTTTCACCAAACTCTTCCACTGAGGTGTCATATATCATAATCTGTTTTCACAATTATACGTTCCCTTTTCTAACATTATGGAAAACTTTGTATGCTTGTCTTTGCTGGACCCTTGAGTTGTAAGAATTGGCAAAGGCGGAAGAGACTGTATTTATTCTAATAGGGAATTACCATTCGTTATGCTGTAAGTGTGTAATACTCAAGACTGTGTTACGGCTGATACAGATTGTTTTTAAAAAAGTGAATTCTGTCATTAAAAATAACTGCTAGCTATGAAGACTGCCTTGGATACAAAATGCCCTCTGAAAGATCGAGGTCAGACATTTCAGGAGTGACACTTTTTCCCTCAAACGCTGTGTAGGCTTCTTTTCTTGTTGGCATTATAAGGTGAAAGTAATGGCATAAGTCTTGCATCTAGTTCTTACCTTTGTCTTCTAACTGTGTACTTGACAATCCAAAACTAGCTTTCAATATTTTTTTCTGTTTTAATACACCAGTGCTCTGTTTTTCTCAGCTGTTTGTTTGGAGACACGTTCCTTGAAACCCTTACAATCTTTCCATGTCCCCTTAGTTTTTATAGCATTAAAGTCATGGGGAAGTTGGGAATTAAGTATGGTTTAGAGAGTCTTTTATTCATAGTACTGAATAGTCTGATACTGCTTTGTAAAGGGTTTTAATGGCCATACAAGCCTATACAGTCTTGCAGTGGGACTAAAGTAACTTTAAATGTTAGATGTAGGACCTCTACCGTCATAGTGAAACCTTAGATTGAGAACGGAAGGCAGTTATTTTGTCAGAGATCATAGCAGATGGCAAGGTTTGTATAAGTATGAAAAAATATCTATTGGGATAAGTAGTTCACTCTCAGCATTTTGTTTGATTGGTAACTAAGTTGTTTGTTTTCTGATAGGTTTTGGTTTTTAAGTCTTTTTATAGAAATCATGTAAATGGGTTTGCAAAATGGAGGTTTTGCTGTCTGAATAAGGTACAGACCTTTAAGCCATGAAGGACATTTTCTATGATATCACATGATTTCATGCTAGTAAAGAGCTGCTTTTTAAAAAACAAACAAACAAAAAACCCTAGATTGTTACTATGTATCCCTTTTGCCAGTAGTATTCATCTTGATTCTCATTATGTTTTCAATTGGAAACCTTCACTTGCTGTAGTTGAAACCCAAAATAAGACTAGAAAACCAAACACAAATAAAGGTGATGCTGAGACAGCCTTTGAGAAGGTCGTGTAAATTATTTTCAGTAATGATGCTCTTAACATTTCTAAATATTTTCGGTTATGTTCCTCATTTTTTAAAAAGTGCATGCAGGTGTTTCTAGCTTTTTTTGTTTGGTCTGTTGGTTTGTGTAATGATTGCTGCTCATCATAAAAGTCTACGAATTTAAAGGGTTTTCAGAAAGCGTTAGGAAGGATGAGATTGTAATTTGTTTCCAAGCAAGGAGTTAATTCTTGTAGTTTTAACATAATTTTTACAGCACTGAGTGACAGGCTTGCATATATATGCTGAAGTAACTGATTCAAAAGTATTCTCAAGATGTATTTAACCCTCACTCTGACTGTATTTTTAATGTCCATTAGTGCTGGTGGAAGTCAGCTTTGCACTCTCACTGGTTGCTTGCATATCCCTGCATGAATACCTGGAACCCCGTTTAGCCTGGGTTTGTATTGCAGTGGATGTTTATTCCCTATGTGTTTTCACGCAGTGTTTTTGTAAATACTTAAGGATACATAGGTGGATGGCAGGAAATTTCTAGTCTTTACCTTCAGTGGGGAGCATTCTTTGTCCTAGTCTCCATACCTTCCATTACCCCAAAATTATTAGAAGGAAATTCTGTTAAGGGAACTGCCTGGATTGTGTTCTGGCAGTATGAGGTGGATTAATTTCTTTTCCTTCAAAGAGATGTACTAGATTATGATACGAACTAAGAAAAATCAGTCTTAGCAACAATTAAATACGATGGGGAAAAGTTGCTGCAGAAGAAACACATATAATAGGATGATCTGATACGCTTTTCACTGAAGGCCTGATGTTTTCAAAGCTCTCTCAGTGATAGAGCTTGTCTATTAAAATACATTTCTAAAGAATAATATGAATCATACTTCATGTGGTATCCAAATCTGATGGTGTGTGTGGGAGAAAGAGATGGCAAAAATACGAAGTTGTAGTTGGGTAAGTCAGAACTAAACTAACCATGGGTGATTTTTAAAAGCCCTGGTCCAGTACCTTTTTTTTTTTAAGTGTAGTAGCTAAGATTGGACCAAAATCATAGCATCCACTGTAGCAGATGAAGAGAAAGATTTGAGTATCCCTAAGGATCAACTCATTTGCAGTTTTAAAAGTTGGCTAAGAGATCTTGGAGATCTTATTACTAAACATCAAAGTCTGAACTGTGCTGTATAGGATTTGCAGCAGATGAACCTTTGACATAGGTGGAAACTTTTTCTACCCGAGACAGTTTAAAAATAGTGCTTATATTTTTGTGATGCTTTTGCTTACACGCATCCAAAAGAGAATAGTTGCCCCACTTTATCACTTCAGAGGTATAAACTGCTGTGTCTTCAGTTGACGGTTGCACGAAAACTTTTTGGCCTTTTTGACTCATAATACTGTTGAATAGAATGCCTTTTTCACTTGTTCTTTAATAGAGAGAGAGAAAATACTAGTAATGTTCAGAGTATATTATGCATCTGAGTGCTGCTGTTCTTGTACAGTACTAGAGCTGGTTTGGGTTGAGAGCTTTTTCCCTATGTGTATAAGACCAGCTGGTTTTGTGCTTTCTAATTGAACAAACTATATGGCTGATAGGCGGCAGGAAGTTTTCATCAGTCTTTGGTTCCAGGCACTGTGATGGGGCATATTAGTCAGGCATTGAAGAGGAGTCCCTACGTGTTGATAGACACTACCCTGATGAACTGCTGTCTGCTGTCTTGTGCTGCAGGTGGGAGTCTCAGTTGTTGTGCACTTCGTTTGCGCTCATCCCCAGGTTTCGGTAGCTTGCTCTCTCCCCGTGTCATGCTCACCCACTTGCTCTTGCTTACTCTCTTCCTGACAGTCTTCCTCCCTTTCTCTGGACTCTGCCCTAGGAGTACATAGAATTTAAACTTGTAAATAGTATTTAATTCTTCAGAATAAAATTACAAGAGTATATGAAAGAAAAAGCAATAGAACTATTCATGAGAAGTTCTTCTCAGCTTTTCTAGAGTTGCACTTGGCTTAAGGCAGGCTGGCTGTTGCATGTCTGAGAGCCCAGAAGGGGATGATCTAGGATTCTTTGTTTGCTTGTGCCTTTATTTGGGTTGTGGGACATGCCATGGTGGGACATGGCATGTGGGACGTGTGGGACATGCCTCTAGAATGAGCATTTCCTTTGCCTCTATTTTCTAAGAGTTTTGATTAGGTTATTAATTTTATTGCCTAACTGAATAGTAGGCTTAACTTCAAACAGGTTTTTCCTATTGTAAGTCCCTTAAGATGTGGTGGTTAAATCGTATGTTCACAAATTGTTATGACGTTTATCTGCCTTAGTAACATGAGTGAAATTCTCCATTCTTAATACACCAGTTAAATCCAACACTTTGCTCTTTCTGTAAAAGTTGCAGTACTGAGATGTCTAAATAGATTTAAATGTCTAGCATGACCTGTTCTCCAAAAATAGCAAGGTGGGAGGGGGAAATGAAATATTCTAAGACATTATTGATATCTGGCTCAATAAATGAATCAGAAGCCCAAGTGTGGCCCTTTCCCAAGCAATGGAAGACTGTTTTATTCATATTTCCATGTTGATTGTCAGAGCTGAGTTAATCAATTGCAAACCCTGTTGCAAGTAGGCAAATTAGCATCACGGTTTGGCCCATGTTATGGCAACTACTCAAAAACTGATGAAAACAGATTGTTTGGAAAGATACTTGGCCCACCTGTGAAGTTTTCAAGTAATAATGACTCCATCCCTTTATGCTAGTAGGTTATTAAAATCTGGTTTTTGGTTTGGGTGAAAAGCCTCCGTTACCTTTCAGGGCTGAATATGTCTGACTTCAACTACGGTTTCTGGATCTTGTTTTGCCTTATACCGCTTTCAAGTCATCTGACTTTCTAACCTCCAAACTCACTTAACGACTGATTTCGGCAGCTTGTTTTCTTTGGTAAGCTGAATCAACTTTGTTCTTTAAGCTTCTTGTCATGAGGCTTGTTTCCCAGTGCTGAAGTTGTTTTTTCAGTCATCTTTTTCAACACTAACTGATATTTTGATAATCTTCAAGATTAACATTAAAGTTAGGGAGATGTAGAGGCCAAAAGTAAAGTGTATTTCTACAGGATTTTAGACCAAAAATGCTTCAAGCACTGGTGGGATAGAGGTGAAGTTAGCTTCTCCTTGAAACTGCAAATCTGAACTTTTATGACAGAAGTTGAAATGCAATGACTCATCAAGCAAAAGAACTCAAAAATGTAAGTGCTGTGGGCCTGAAGAGGGCAACACAGCACAGCAAGTTTCAGCATCTTACAGCTAATGCAAAATGCTCTTGAATAGACTTGTGTGTAATACCTTACTTAACTTTTTTCTTATGTATTAAAAATGACCTTTTCATAAAGGACCTGCTGAAAATAGAAAAATTCATTTCTTAAAAACCTTTTACAAAGAGGAAGTTTGCATATGAAGATAATGTGAAATGATGGCTGATTTGTGTAACAGATCTGTGCTCAGCTGAATTTCTGTGCCGAAGATAAAAAAAACAGACTGATTCATCATCAATTGAGTATGTAGAATGACTTATTAGAATAACTGATGGTTCATCACTAAAGAAACACTAGCACACTTTCACCAGTTTTCAGTGACTTCAAAATCAAAGCTCTGTGAATGAGAAAGTTTTAAAAGTTTTGGTAGGCAAACATTTTTCCTAGTGCCCTGTTATTAAAAAAAAAAAAAACCAAAAAAAACCAAACAGTCTTCTGTCAAGTATTGCATATGGGCAACATGAT